TGTGACCTGGGTACATGGAGTGGGTGGACAGTAGAGGTGGATGTGACCTTGGTACATGGAGTGGATAGACAGTAGAGGGGATATGATCTGGGTACATGGAGTGGGTAGACAATGGAGGTGGATGTCACCTGGGTACATGGAGTGGGTAGACAATAGAGGTAGATGTGACCTGGGTACATGGAGTGGGTAGACAATAGAGGTAGATGTGACCTGGGTACATGGAGTGGGTAGACAAAGATGGAAAGTGACCTGGGTACATGGAGTGGGTAGACAAAGATGAATGTGACCTGGGTACATGGAGTGGGTAGACAATAGAGGTTGATGTTACCTGGGTACATGAAGTGGGTAGACAATAGAGGTGGATGTCACCTGGGTACATGGAGCGGGTAGACAATAGAGGGGATGTGATCTGGGTACATGGAGCGGGTTGACAATAGAGGGGATGTGACCTGGGTACATGGAGTGGGTAGACAATAGAGGTAGATGTGACATGGGTACATGAAGTGGGTAGACAGTAGAGCTGGATGTGACCTGGGTACATGGAGTGGGTAGACAATAAACATACCTTCTGGTACATGTAATGTTTCATGAAAATACAAATTACAAAGCATGTTAGTCTGATAAAAGTTTTATTGTAAACATTCTACAAAGTCAACGGCTCTAGCAATGAAAATCTTGATTCAACCGTGGCGGCTGTTTCTAACATTATCGATTACAAGTTAAGGCATCAGTGAGGCCAGCACTCAGCATCACAAGATCCAGGCTACCAGGCTGGTGTCACCAGGAAACCTGCATCAAGCCCTATAGTTTGTATCAAATGCAAGCAACAAGAAAAAGGTAAAGCACACAAATATTTCAAAACTTTTGAAAACTGATAAGGTAACCGACAATCATTTTAGATTCAGGAATGTGTTACTAATGATATTGTAGCTGTTTTATTATTTAAAGATCACATATACCCTAGGGGGGTACAAATACATAAATCATTTATTGGCATCGTTATAATATTAAAAAGATAGCATGTAAGTTCATTCTTTTCCATCATTTTGTCCAGATTAGGGATCGTTCATAATTTATGGCTGGGGATGATGATATTTATGGAGAAGCATGTACAATGTGAATGACCCCCCTAAAATTTATGTACAAAATAAGTGACCCCCCTCTGCATGTCATGTGCAAAATCAATGCCCCCCCTCCCCTCCGCTTCCCATAACGTCTAATCCTAATTTCAAGATATTTTTATGTACAAAATTGCCTACCCTCCAAGTTCGTGTGTACAAATTGCTGACCCCCTCCCTTGCTCCCCAGAACAAAATGGGTGACCCCCACCCCTCCTTGCATAAAGATCATCATCACCCCCCTAGCCATAAATTATGAATGGGTCCCTTACCATGTTTTTGAGCTATGATTCTGTAAACTAAAAATATTTCCATAGCCAGAAAATCCATAAGAGCAAGTAAAACATTTCTTTGCAAAGTATTAGACCAGTACTGTGTTGCCGCAGCACCATATTTTGTTAGTACAGTAACCATAGTAACAACACTATGAAAATATACAAATACAAAGCTTCAGGAATGTAACTAGCAGTCTATAAAACTTTCATAAAAGAGTAGGGGTGTCACGAATACACCAATCTCACAATACGATTTGTATCACGATTTTAAGGTCATGATACGATATGTATCGCGATACATAATTTTCACGCCTTTTCATAGCATTACCTTACCGGCAACGTACGCTCGCTGATTGGTCCATCAAAATAGTCTAGCCAATCACAAAAGCTGTTAGTTTCCAACCTATTTTTATTAAGTAAAGCTAGCTTCATCTATTTATCGAAGCGGTCTCGTATAATTTTACTATCAAGACTTTGAAGGAGATGGATATAGCATAAAAATTTGAATCGATAAAGATTTAAAATAGGAATCGATACACGCAAGCATGTATCGCGTATCGTATCGTCAGTAAAAATATATCGATGCATCGATACATTCGCGTATCGCGACACCCCTATAAAAGAGTATTTTTCTAAAATGAGGAATGTATAGGATAACAGTAAACATTCTTGGAGAAAAGTGTAGAAAATATAAACTCTGTCACCTGACACACAAGGTTGTTAAATACAGTTCTAAAAAAATAGTTCACCTCACACAACCTTTGTCCTGAACAATGTCTGCCCAGCACTAAAGTCATGATTCACACAACAACCTAACAGTTAAAATGGTTAAGAAAGCAACCTACAAAAGGTCATGACCCAGCTATTGGTTATTGTCGCAGCTATCCCAATGTTCCGTGCCTATCATCTATCTACTGCTGCCATTCATCTGATTGTGTTCCATGTCCACAAGTCTTCGGCAGTTGGTACAAGAACACGATGTTCCTCCATGACAAAGCAGTTGTACTACTATACAGTGCCGAGAAAGTGAAGCAATCGAACGTGTAGTCAAGTTCCTATAGCCTTGAAGCAGTTACAAAGTTCTGTCATTAGTCAAGATAGGAAATATAGAAATATATATGTGCCTTCTCATAAAATTTAAACAGGAATCAAAATGGACAGTTATATATGGAAACATCTAGAAAGCAGTTCATAAATGCTTTCAAGGTGTAAAGTTGCTTTTGAACTCATTTCCAAGAATTTAAGTACTGCATTCATTCAATAGATGGAAGACTTGATAGATATTTTCCAAACAAAATACACCATTTATGGCATATAAAACCTTTCACACACACTTGATTATATATGGAAACATCTAAACCACGGAGGCGGTCCATAAAATTTAAAAAGGAATCAAAATGGACAGTTATATATGGAAACATCTAGAAAGCAGTTCATAAATGCTTTCAAGGTGTATAGTTACTTTCGGACTCATTTCCAAGTAATGCATTCATTCAATAAATGGAAGACTTGATAGATTTTTTCCAAACAAAATACACCATTTATGGCATATAAAACCTTTCACACACATTTGATTATAAACTTGATAACCTGTGATCCCCTTTAGGCCATCATGTTGATGCATTGGACTTCCTGAACTGTATAATCAGGACAATCACGACTTACTAATATACCAAGGTACATCCCTGGGAGACAGAGTCATTTAGTCACACCACATCTGATTAATGCAGCTGAAATCTGAAACAAGCATGGTCAACGCACTGACTACCAAGGGACTTAACTCTGGCCAGTAAGTTGACGCAGACATACTACTGGTGTCATATCACCACAAACCTGGTAGACGTATCCCCTCTAATAAAAACCCTGGGTGCTCAGAAAAATAGGGGCACTCATTAAAACCATAAACATCATTTTGTATAATGATCAAGCATAAGTGAAACAAAAGTTTTTGATGAAAATAACTTACACCCTGTCCTCACTACATTGTATGGTATTTTCTTCTGTAATACCCAAAACACAATATTGATTGAGAAAACAAATGGTGACGATGGGGAAGCTTATAAACATTACTTGTAGATTGGTGTAGAGGCCAGTTAATGCAACAGAGAACAGTGGTGAAGATGGGACAGTTACACACAGCGGAGTGATTCTTGAAACAAGTAGTCCTCACACGATCATAACAAAAACGTAATAAATACATGGATTTCATCAGAATAATATCAGTGAATAAATATGTATATATCCTTGTCTTCTAACACACAAAACTATTATGAACACTTAACTATTCAAATTCAACAGTAACCATGGCAACATGTGCATGGAACACAGACACTTTGAGACTGTGACACTGAACAGATTATTGTCACTGGGCACAACATTAACTGTGCATGGAAACTGTACAACAGGAAGCCTGGGATGTGAAGCTGCCAATTATGTCCTACTATCCCAGATCATTCCACTCACATAAGAAGTAAAACACATCTATCACAAGTAATATAGGAAAACTATTTCAAACAGAAACATGGATGCCAACTGATGATGACAGTTCTTCTTAGGGTTAGGGTTAGGGTTAAGGTTAGGGTTAGGGTTAAGGTCAGGGTTAGGGTTAGGGTTAGGGTTAGGGTTAAGGTTAGGGTTAGGGTTAAGGTTAGGTTAAGGTTAAGGTTAGGGTTAGGGTTAGGGTTAAGGTTAAGGTTAGGGTTAGGGATAAGGTTAGGGTTAGGGATGAAACAAGAACAAATAATTAAGAGTTAAAATGTGGAATGATCAGCGCCTTCTATAGTCTGTTTGCAGTGAAAACGTACCGATGAATTTCACTCTAAACGACAAGGTAAATCAAATAAAGTGAAATTAAGATTACGAATCCTCATAATTTTACCCTGCCAATTGAACATTCAAATCTCAAAATTTGTATTCAACTTAGGATAAAAGTTGTTTAACAAATGATCATAGTTTCAAATCGCTATTATTGGTTTGTATTACAAGGGGGTAAGCGCAGTAGATGGAACACCGAGAACTAGTAGTGTTGGTTTAAGCTAACGCTCATTACGTACGGCACATTCTTTGTTTCACTGTTCCATCTACTGCTCTTACCCCCTTGTAATACAAACCAATAATAGCGATTTGAATCTATGATCGTTTGTTAAACAACTTTTATCCTAAGTTAAATAAAATTCTGAGATTTAAATGTTCATTTGGCAAGGTAAAATTATGAGGATTCGCAATCTTCATTTCACTTGATTTAATTTACTTTTTTGTTTAAAGTGAAATTCATCGGTACGTTTTCTCTGCATACTATAAACTGTTCTGTACTATATAAATGTTGTCCTGGTCCGACATCCCAACGAAACATCACTCATCAATAGGGGTGTGACATTATGTACAACTCACAAAGCTCAACTCGGTCCAGTTCTCTATGTATCTATCATGGTAGCTGATGTTGTTGCTGTCAGCTACAGTATGTTTGGGTCAAAATGATACCGATGAATCACAATCTAACTCCAAATCGGTTCGTGATCAAACATTCATTTCAACGCAAAATGTAATGAAACATCAGACCAACTCTAGAAAAAAGTTTCATAACGTTTGTCTCCGAAATGAGAGTTACTTAACAAACTATCATCATTTTGTTTTGATTTTCTGAGTGAAGTTTTACGAGGGTAAAGTAACAGTAGTACTGTTGCAGGAACAGCCCCCAGGGCGGGAAGGACATGCAGCTCAGGATGTCAACATTTAGGGGTTGTATCAAACTATTCCAGACCGGAATCTATCAGTTTCTTGATCATCTTGAGTTAGATTGTGATTCATCTGTATCGTTTTGATCCAAACGGGCTATAGTTTGTGTTGAACATGGTGATTGCTTAATTATACAATTCATGGTGTGTAACAATCGAGTTTGCACCAGAGCACCAGAGCACCAGAGCTGTCAGGCATGTCTGTCTCCATGCAGTTTCAGATGCTGCCGAGTATAATAAAGGTACTTAAATGTGTCCTTAAAACTTTCACTAGAGCTGGTCCACCTTGTATGCCTAATTTTATGTTACTTGAAATATACACATTTCCCCATGGGAGTGGAAGATTCATACTCAAAACAATAACAAGGACAATGACCTCTCACCTAAGGCTTCCATTGGATTCGGCAGGACAGTCTAACATTGGCTTCTTGCTCAACTGACTTGTGAATAAATAGTCAAAGGCACCATAAAAGTTTGTAAGGCTGCAGTCATGGACGCTGCCATTGAGGAAGGGGGCTCGCAGATCAATGAGGAGAAGAACACTGGCGTACAGTCGTACAAACGTCTCTTCATCCACACATCGTAGCAGCACAATGATGATAGACAGCATTTCATCACAGCAGGCCATGGGGCCATTCTTGTTCAGATCGGACAGCAGGGTACCAAGTGATCGAAACACTTTCGTCAAACGACGCAGTTTCTCTAGCATCGTCTTCGCCCTGAATGATGACTTAAGGAGTTGCTTGACAGGAGAAAACATTTCCTCCAAAAGAGTCTGAGGGTCTTCAAGTTCTTCCTCTTCTTCAGCAACATCTTCCTCTTCAGCATCTGCCTCACTGTCGGCGAGGTCATCGCTGTCAGTGGCAGACGACCTCTGCGGGGATACATGACCATCAGGAGCAGGACCACAGTTGTTTTCATCGAACAGATTGGGGATGCTCCCAGAGAGCTGGTGACACTCTCGGTCTGCGATCCGGTACAGTTCCTCCAGCGTACACTTCTTTATTTCAATACTCACACAGGACTTGGACAAACTCCTCCGAGAAAGTATTTCAAACTCTTCACTGCTCTCACTCCCTGATGTCAGGCTTCGGCCACGTCTGTACACAGCTGCTTCTGCACCGGATTTCAGTCCACTGAGGATGACGTTCAGGACGTTGTCGTCGAGAAGTAATTCTTGGAGGGAGAGACGAGTTATGCCTCTATATAAGGAGATACACTTAGGAGCGAAGGTCAACTCATACAAATTACACAGGTGAGGCAGCAGCTCCGTGTATAGAACATTTTCATATGACACCCACACCTTATTCTTGGGGCTCCCAGCACATTCTGGGATGCTGTTTATCAGTAAACAACACATTGTTTCCATCTGTGAACGGATATCATCCTTGATTCTCTCGAGAGATTTCTTCAGAGCATCCACAGCCATTGGTAGAATTTCATCAACTAAGTCGGGAGAATACAGCGTTGATTTGGCATGTCCTTGTCGTCTCCGCTGAGATGAGCCACCGGTTGCTTCTACAAATCTCACATCAATATCACTAATGGAAGCTTTTTTAAAGTTTACAAACTGCCACAATCCTTCAATATTATCAGAGGAAGCACCAAACATCTTTGTTTCATCAATAGCACTTGTAATTTTATCCATGATGATCTTAACAGCTTGATGATGTCTGCGGAAAGCATGTGACTTCTCATTTTCTAAGAGTGAGTAGACTTTTTCCTCCAGCGTCTTCCATTCTTCAGGCTTGTCTTTCAGACCAATGATGTCTAGAGAGAACTCACTACCATCGGTGAGGTGGACTGGGCTTAATTGATCACTTGAGGCATTAAGCTCAGATAAAGCTGATAATATCGCCTCTCGCACTGAGGATATTTTCACCTTTACAAGACAAACCCTTTGTAAATCTTCCTTCTGAAGTCTGAGTCTGCCATTTACCTCCAAGTAGATATCATGGAACACATTTTCTTTCACTTTGATCTTTTTCAATTTTTTCTTTTTCAGGACTGGTGGACGGAACAATACATTTCTCAAAGTTTCTTTTGCAGTCTGTAATGTAACAATTTGTTCATGAACACCATCTCGCTTCCTTCTGAGGTCCTCAAGTTTAAGCTTGGCTCCAGCTGATACCTGACAGTCTCGGTATCTGTTAACCTGAAGCTGCGTGCCCTCGAAATCTGAATTCAGTCTCATGATATCTCTCTCCAGATGACTGTGAAGAAGAGACAAAAAATCCTTCTTACAAGACCTTGCATAAAGTTCACTTTCAAAATTTTCATTTTTCAGAATTCGTGTCCGCTGTTTCAGTAAGGTTTGTTCTGTTATATCAACTGATTTGGATTTCTTTAAAATCTCTGCTTCAACCATTTCAGATTTACTCTCCACCTGCATCAAAACATCCTGTAACATGTCTCGGTCATCCATAGTAAATCTGATAGCTGGGAAAATGTAACAATGAAGAAGGCGTGTCACTTCAGTTAGGAGTATTCCCATGTTATTTTTCGGTCTCTGTACTGAGCCATGCAGTCATTTGCCTTGTCTGCTAGCTCATCAACGGTTGGATCAAAATCATAAACATCAATGTCACCATGCAACATCTCAGCTCCAACAGGAACAAAACGCTTCTCTGATTCGATTTCATCATCGATAGTTTTCACTGCCGTTTGTTCTTTCCTGAGCCAGTGAACCTGGCGTTCATCACAGTCGATATACACAGAATCGAGGAGTAATGTCTTATACCACAGAGCAGACTCGATGTGGAAGTTCACGCTGGTACCTGACGTACATGGACTGTCATCAACCATGGGACGATATCCATCCTGTAAACAGATATTCCCGACCACAACAACGTTCCCGCCTAGTTTTAGTTTGACCTGCATGTCAGATTGTGGATCTTTCCCAGAATATATTATTCACTGCGTCTTTTAAAACCATTTCAGTGACAAGAAGCAGATCCCGTTGCTTACGTCATCGTCGCTTTCCTAAACCCAAACAAACCTCGACCAGGAAGTGACAATTCCAACGACCTTGACCTATCCAACACTCCCACGTATATCATAGCAAAACTAGTGCTTGCTGCATTGTGAAATATAATATGCACAAAATAGTGAAGTCTGACATCGATACGTGTTACAGTTTGACGATGCCACACTTTGTAACTGAATAGAAAATATATCAACTGTTCCTGACAATATCTTTGCTTTAAGTGACAATTTCACGCATGCGCAGTTCACTTGCGGAAAAGGAAACCGCATGTATTGTTGACTTTTCAGCACAAAGAAATATTTGGTTTCAGTTGCAAGCAAGAAGATATCCATCCGAAGTTGTCTTTATTTCCTTTATGATGTGAAGTGAATGTAACATATTCTTGAGATACGTCAAATGGAGTAATCACCACATTTGCGGAAGTGCATATACCGACTGTCGGTTGAAAACTTGTCGACCGGGTCTAGTATTCTTCCAAGCAGGAATGGCTGAGGCGAGTCAGTCGGATGATGACTTGAGCATTCCCAGGGCTGCTCTGAACAAAATGATCAAGGAACTTGTGCCAAATGTTCGTGTCGCCAATGAAGCAAGAGAACTGATTCTCAGTTGCTGCACGGAGTTCATACACCTCGTGTCGTCAGAGGCGAACGAAATCTGCACTAAACAACAGAAGAAAACAATCTCACCTGAGCATGTATTGAATGGTATGGCGAAATACACTGTCCGGGCCTTTAATGAATGTTTGCATTTCATGCCTCACACGATAGAAAGTATGTTTAAAATAGGGTGGAAATCCTCCAAATAATTAAAATGATGAGTTCTTTTCCATATGTGGCATTAAATCGATATTATATATCAAAACAATGCATAAACAGAAAATTTGACATAAACATAAATATGTCTTGTTTGTCAATTAAGACATCAACAGATTAATCAGTAGACTTGTAAACAGACACAAAGTAGTTTGCATGTACTTTGGTAGTTGAAAATTACATTTATACATGCATTTACTTATTTCACCAAACTTCCTGTTGATTAAGCTACTCTGCAACTGTACCAGAGTCTGTATCGAAATATCACACTCACGAAATAAAAGAAGTTATCCAAAAAGTTTGTCAATACATAATGGAACCAGAAATCAGTCCATAAAAGAACTAGATGTGAAACCAACAAACAACAGTGAAATATGATGTACATTATAGACAAACTTTATGGATAACATCCTCTTCATTTCGTGACTATGACATTCCAATACAGATGCTTATAGATAAGGACAAACATTATAGATTAACAACATAATTATTCAGGTGATGAGACGTTTCAATACATATTCGTGTATCATTGTCAAGCAGGTATTAAACAGGTACTGAGGTAGAAAACAGGGTTATGTAGTATAAAATTAACACAAACAGCACAAACATAATTGAGAAAAACAGTGATGTGATGACAAGCGATTTCATGTAGAAGCCAGTGGGATGTACAGAACAGGAGAAGTAGAACATGTTTACACAAGCAGTTAGGGTTGGTTGATGAGTTCATCATATGCAGAGGGGATGAAATATCCTCGATCCCTATTGATCTGGGGTCAGTGTCGTTTGATGTGGATGGCTTTAGTTAGTTTTCATTTGGTAAAGTCAGGTTGGATGGAATGAAATATACTTGACCTATACTTGGGCTTTTGGCATTTGATGTCAATGGCTTCGATGAGTTTTCATTTGGTGTAGCCCGTTTGGTTGTTGGCAAGAATGGTGATGTCCATACAGTAGTGGTAATCCGATTAATTGAAATAATCGAAGATTGGTCTCAGTGACTAAACGACCAAGCAATCGATCATGTTTTCTAATAATCAAACACAAACAATTCTGGAACACTTGTTTTCATCAACAATATTTTTCACAAGGTTGGTTTTGTCTGTTACATTTCATAAGCACTACAAGCTCGTTCCAAGTCATGATTAAATTTATCTTAAAGACACCAAGAAATTTATGTTCCTAACATACTAGTCATCCTTTAAAGATGTGAAATTTTGCCCAAACCCCCAAGATAACTACATGTTTTTTTCCTTATTTTTTTGTGCATTAACAAATTTCATAAATGACACTAACCAATTATTTTCGATGATTGATCGGTGGTAATGAACCAATCATCAATTATGAGATTTTAAACAATTCCCAACACTACCGTACAGTATATATGGCGATTTGGGTTAGATTGGATGTGATCGGAGATGGATGATTTGCCGTCAGAACTAGTAACGGAAGACTGATGTTCTTTCACTTGAGTGTTGATGGGGCTGGATGTTTTGCCTATGTAGCTCTGTGCACAATCATAGTTGATTTTGTAAGTGACACATTTCGGGATGTTGTTGATGGTAGACCATGTGGTTTTCTTCTGTTAGCATCGAGAAGGTTGTTGAGGCTGGAGGACGCGAGAAGGTGGTATCTATGCCTGCTTGTTGTTTAAGGATTCTGCTGATTTGATGTGATGGTTTAACAACGTAGGGAATGGATTTTTTAATGGGGGCTGAATCTGGTTTGGGTCTATTGGGGAGGTGACAGGGTTGCAGCAAAGGTTCCGTTGACTATTTGGGCTGGATAGTTGTTTATCATGTTTAATTCTACAAAGTCAATATCAATTCCCATTTTGGAAAATGTTGATTTCGTAAACACTGAGTTTGTATAAGAGTTTCATAGTAATATCGATTTCCTTTTACAGTTTTAAGTAGATGTATGATATTAAATGGCATAAAAGGACATTCAAGATTTGTATTAAAATTTGGAAAACCCATGCCACAGCAATCAGGCCTACCATACAAACGGTGAACAAATCATCAAAACTGAACTCATATACACCTAAACAGAACAAAAATCACCAAAACTGCAACCATATTCTCTAAAACCGAAACAATACATCTGTAATGGAAGACTAATCGTTTGAAATGGAAACAAAACTTGCGTATCAGCTACAAGAGCGAGCGAGAACGGTTGCCGAGCGTACAAAACGGCATTCATGGCATCCTAACACGGCAGTCATAGCATCCCGAAACGGCATACAAAACGTCAAAGATGGCAGTGAGGGGAGACGAGTAGGCTTTGGTACATAATGTTTTTCGTCACTATGAGTCTAATCTTGAAAATTTGATATCGGGATGTAGTGCATAAACCCCCCTATTGTAGTTAGCTTCAAACCTATGTCCATACTTCTTAGTGCAAGGATTGCAATTCTACACAATGTGGTCCCTCGTTCGACCGAATAGGATTTCTTGTCAACATGCCGTGGTCCTGTTTCTCTTCAGTTTTGTAAATAAAGTGTTCATGGCGTCACATTCAACATTACTATATTTTAGTGATTTAAAAAGTTTACAAAAATTTTGTTCATTGTCCGTGAATTGCATTTATAAGTGATCATTTTTAAAGTGTACGATCCACTGATTAGGGCAGGGATTTCTGTTTCAAGTCCACAGGAGGCGACTTCTTGAGACTTAAAATAACAAAGACGGAAGCATGTTTGTACCTCAAGTTAAGCTTTATTTTTTGTTAAATGATGTAAAATGTTTGGGATTGCATGGAATACTTTGAAGTACATGGAAAAGATAAAATTGCAGAATGATAAAATCTTCCTGACACACAATTCACAGTTGAAATTATAAGCAAGTTCATGTTTCCTTCTCTGATGAGAACGCAATGTTACCCGATTTTTGAACTTCTCTTTATATGGCATACACTCAAACGTTGGAATTTTCGGAAGGTTCGGTATCACAGAGATATCTGAAAGAAATATATTCACTGAATGACTTCATAAAAGTAAGATAAAACTAGAAGATCTTCGTCTGAGAACATGACCATATGTGCAGTGTGAAGCGGTAGCATCCAAACATACAAACTAAGAAGAATATGTCATGACAAGAGGACTTGCACGTCTCTCTCAGGAATCTGTGAATACAAGTTTGAGAAATTTTAAAAAAGGCAGTTTGGGAAGTCAAAGTAGAAATGATCACTTATATATGCAATTCACGGAGAATGAACGAAGTTTTTGTAAACTTTTTAAATCACTAAAATATAGTAATGTTGAATGTGATGCTATGAATATGAATACGAAACTGAAGAGAAACTGTAGCACGGCATGTTGACAAGAAATCCTATTCGGTCGAACGAGGGACCACATTGTGCAGAATTGCAAGCCTGACACTGAGAAGTATGGACATAGGTTTGAAGCTTACTACAATAGGGGGTTTATGCACTACATCCCGATATCAAATTTTCAAGATTAGACTCATAGTGACGAAAAACAATTATGTACCAAAGCCTATTCGTCTCCCCTCGCCGCCATCTTTGACGATTTGTATGCCGTTTCGGGATGCTATGACTGCCGTGTTGGGATGCTATGAATGCCGTTTTGTACGCTCGGCAACCGTTCTTGTGTGCTCTTGTAGCTGATACGCAAGTTTTGTTTCCATTTCGAACGATTAGTCTTCCATTACAGATGTATTGTTTCGGTTTTAGAGGATATTGTTGCAGTTTTGGTGGTTTTTGTTCTGTTTTGGTGTATATGAGTTCAGTTTTGATGATTTGTTCACCGTTTGTATGGTAGGCCTGGCAATATGCTTTGACAGATGCTAACACGCTGTTGAACTCTAGAAAATTAACATTAATGTCAAAACATTGTTTGAACTCTTCAAGGGTATGAAAATAACCGTTTTCATTAATCAGATCACTCATAAAATTTATTCCTTTACTCTGCCATAGCTTTAATGAGACTGGACTTTTACCAATTGTAATGTCGTCGTTCAACCACATGCTTTTGGATAATATATTAATTTCAGAGTTATCTACTTGGCTAGCGTTGTTTACAAATTGGAACCAAGCAAAAAGCAAATAGGAATAGTAAGAACTAGAAACATTGTTTTTTATCCATGTTTTAGGGTCGTTAGTTTTCGTCGTCCAGATACTTTGGCAGATTTAATTCAAACAACTGTTTGTAAGTAATGTCTCCGTAACATGGAAATCTTTTGAGCCTTATTTTTCGGGCAATTTATACCACCACCTTCTGTGTTGCAAATAATTTGTGTTCTCTTGATTTTGTCAGGTTTGTTGCCCCAAAAGTTGAACAAAAGTGGCCCTTGTTAATGTTAAGAATCTGATCAGCAATTCCTCATAATGATTATGATTCATCATACCAAATGATAGTCATGTACCTAGATTCTAGCAAATGCCTTTGGACGCAGGTGAGCTTGCAGTCTTGGCTGACATTTCCTTAGAACTTTGTTCGAACATGATTTTCCTTTCTTTTCGTTTTTTTTTAAAGAAAAAAGGTATCCAGGTATCTCATGGTGGTCACTGTCCACTTGACATAATTATGTTTTGCCAATGTACCAGATATGCTTCTTGGAAGATTGGCTTCTACTGATTGTATGTCAGCAAGCCTGTCTCATTGTTGCTTTAAGAGTGTGCAGAGTACAAGACACATGCTCTAAAATGTGTTACACAAATCAGTAATTGTGACATGTAAATATTTCTTAGAAGTTGGTAAAAATACATGCAACAATATGGTTCTTGGTTAATGTGGCAGATTCCCTTTTCAACTTACTTATATGTCGAGGACAGTTAAATATTGGTGTAGACTTTTAACTCTTCCAAGTTGTAGATTACCTCATCAGTTTTATTTAATGCTAAAGTCTTTGGATGAATCTGGACGGACGACATGGGCATCTCATATCAAGAATATATTATTTAGATTTGGGTTTGGCTTTGTTTGGATTTCACAGGATATTGGAGAGATTGATGGTTCCATTTCTGTTTTTAAGCAAAGATAGTCTGATAATCTTTCACAAGATTGGTACTCATCCCTACATAATATAACCAAGTGTTCTAATTATATACTTTTCAAGTCCCTCCTGAATGTTGAAACTTATCTCAGTTTAGGTATTGCACCATATTTAAGAAATTGTTTAACAAAATTTAGATGCGGTAAATTTAAACTTAGTTCTGAGACCGATAAATATAACAATGTCCCTTATGATTCAAGATTCTGTCCTTTTTGCTACAAAATTAATGTTTATTTAATTGAAGATGAAATACATGTTTTACTTTATTGTAAAGCCTACCTAGATATAAGGAATAAGCTTCTGGGTAAATATTTGAAACATCCTATTTCACAACACAGTTTTATAAACATAATGACTTCAACAAACATAAATGTTATAAATAATTTATGCCTATTTTTATATAATGTTGGGAAAATAAGAGATTCTAATTGTTTTTATGTAAAACGCATGTAACTTCTTATCATATTTATGAATGTGTTTTGGGCCAGTGGTCTATTACTGAATAAAATGTCTGTCTGTCTGTCTGTCTGTAATTGTGACTGCATGATTTGGAGTCTTAACAAGGTGAAACTCAAACAGTCAAAGTCACAGTGTTTTGGTATCGGGTAGTTTTTATTTGTTTTAATGGATTGGAAATGGAAATATTTCAAATGTCTTTCGCTATCATGGCCCCTATGTAATATCTGTGTGCAACATTTGAAAATTGATTGTGTGGAATCCTGGAATTTAACAGGAATTTCAGTTATTGGCTAACAGTATGTTTTTATTAATGAATTCATCAGAGTGGTTATGTGTTGTCCTGACCTTGACATTGGTTCTGTCCTCAGCGCTGGACAGTCTCGGGTTCGGAGCCTACAAGGAGGATGCACAAGCCGTACTGCAGGAGGCCAAGGCCGTGGCGGCCAAGAAAAGGAGAGGCAGCTCCCGCCTCGAAAACCTTGGTATTCCAGAGGAGGAGTTGCTACGGCAACAACAGGAGTTGTTTGCAAAGGTTGTACACTCTTAGAAATTTTGAATCTTTTTTTTTTCTCCTTTGTTTCTTGAAACAAAATGAATGATTTTAGAAATATTTGAATGCTTACTAGGTTAGTTCAATATGTACAGACTGTAGTGCCCCATCCTGTAGTATCCCTCCATCACGTTTCAAGGAGGGTCTAAAACTGATTGCAACATCTACATATCATTTCCTCGACAGTAAGCAGGCATTTTCTCCAAAATCATCGGCAATCATACTCACTTGTTGGCCATAGATAACCTTGACATTCAAGTGACATCTAGCCCTACATAGGTGCTGTCAACGTGGCTGCAATTAATAAACAAATTTAAAAGGTGAGTTTTCGCTGTCTTGGCTGATCCATGATTGTGGCTTGGAATTGTGGAGGTAGCTGTTTTCTGTGAGTTGTGGCGTATAACTGTTGAAATAATGATCCGATTGTGACCATTTATAGCTCATTTTGTAGGGAAATCATCTACCTTTCGATCCGTAGACTTCGGCAGGGCCTTAACAATATTGAAATCTAACTTTGATTGAGGAGAGGGTGGTTTTGTTGTTACATCCCTTTCCTTATATAGTAATAGGGTAGGGTCTATACACCTATATGTCTTTCTAATGCTCTTTCTAAGCGAGACACGCCCCTATGGTAGTATCCCTCCATCATGTTACAAGTAGGCTGTAGTATCCTTCCATCATGTTTCAAGTAGGCTGTAGTATCCCTACATCATGTTACAAGTAGGCTGTAGTATCCCTCCATCATGTTACAAGTAGGCTGTAGTATCCCTCCATGTTTCAAGTAGGCTGCAGTATCCCTACATCATGTTACAAGTAGGCTGCAGTATCCCTACATCATGTTACAAGTAGGCTGTAGTATCCCTCCATCATGTTTCAACTACATCACGATATTAGCTGGCTGCTGTTCTAAGCCAAGGATTATGTTTGTATCAAATCTTAACATTGGGGGTACAGACCCTGCCTGTGTTGTTACAGGTACAAGTAGGACTTACTTGTGACGTGTGTGGCATGTGACTGTGACAAACTATGAGACCCCATCATGTCTGTCAGCTCCGACAATCGTGGAGGACCAGGAAACAGCACATTATTATACCCCCGCTACGAAGTAACGGGGTATATAGCGTTCATTCTGTCTGTCCGTCCGTCCCGAAACTTTGTCCGGAGCATATCACTTAAAGTTTACATGCTAGGTTCACCAAACTTCACACACATGTTAATCATTACCCATTGATGTGCCTTTTGCTATTTTAATTTTTCAGAATTTTGTTTTATTGCTGTTTCCATGGAAACACGACTTAGTGCCAAATGTGTTTGGTGGTTTTGTCCGGAGCATATCTCTTAAAGTTTACATGCTAGGTTCACCAAACTTCACACACATGTTAATCATTACCCATTGATGTGCCTTTTGCTATTTTAAAGTTTTTTCAGAATTTGTTTTGTTGTTGTTTCCATGGAAACATGACTTGGTGCAAAATGTGTTAGATGGTTACCTGGCCACAGCATCTCATCGAAACTATACATACTAGGTTCACCAAACTTAATACACAAGTTAATCATGACCCACAGATATGCCATGTGCTAAAAAATAACAATCTGCATCTACGTCCACTTCATTGTGTGCAACAAGTTCAATTGTATGTTAGGTTTCCACGGAAAACACCAAAAACTAATGTTTCCATAAATTATTACTGTAATCAGTACATGGCAAAACTATTATCTAACATGTATATAAAGTTTAGTAGAGTCAAGGAGAAAGTCTTGTGAGCTGCTGATCCTTGTCACATTATATATATCAATATCAGTCATTTCCATGTCCCAAAGTGGGAAACGGGGGTATGTGAGCTGTGCTCACGTCTACACTTGTTTCGTTTGTGAGACACATGAGTAAAGTCATCATTTGTCTTTGTAGGCTCGCCAGGAACAGGCGCAGAGGGACCAACAGCAGTGGTTTCAGATGCAGCAGGCTCTTCAACAGCAACAGCTCTTACAGCTACAACAGCAACAACAGCAACCTATAGACAGTCAAGAGGACTATTCCTAGGACAGTTTCCTTGTCTCCCCTGAGTTAAGATGGCAGAGACTGTCAAGGAGACGTGGCAGTCATGTGATAATTCAATATTCCATTTGGTATCTCCTACCAGATGCAAGGTTTCCACTCCAGGTCACCATGGATGCAGGGTTTCAGCAGCCTGTAACCATGGATACAGGGTTTCAACTCTGTTGTCATTACGGTGGATTGCTATTCCCAAAGACTGCGTACAACACAATAGATCTTTAGGACTGACTTATCTGAAGACCTTCAGTCAAGTTTCTTGTAAGCCTTCTTGTATCTCTCTGGGATGCAAACATTTTTGTGTGTATGACAAATTGTGGGTTACATTGATGCATGTATTTGTTTGCTTTTCTAAAAAATCTTGAAGACTAGTAATCTGTGTAATAATCTCGGCCATAATGTACATGCTATGTAGCAGCTTCAGCTTTAAGCAGGAAGCAATACCCTTGTTTTCATCATCATTCAAATGCTCATCATATTTGAAGTATTATCGTTTTCAACATAACCACCACACCTGGCCATCTTCCACAGTGTTGCACCTGTCTGGTCTTGTCAGAGTCATGCATCTCTACTGTAATACTAACACCAAAAGAAGGAAGGAACTGGAAAGTTGAGTTACCATGGTAACTACAGTTGGTGAAGTTGAGCCTGTACATTCCTCTGGATGTAAACTGCTTGACAGCAACACCACATGCTGGGAAATAGTGTTTGTGTATATATATGACCTTGACATCTCCATTGTTTTTGTGGCTGTGTATTCAGGAGTGACTGTGGACATAAAATATCATATTACTGATCAGCAATGTGATCTAGCCCTCCTACAACAGTGTTCCTATCATATTACTGATCAGCAATGTGCCTGTCCCTCCTACAACAGTGTTCCTATCATATTACTGATCAGCAATGTGCCTCCTACTGTTCCTATACAACAGTGTGTGCCCCTCCTATCATCATATTACTGATCAGCAATGTGCCTCCCTGCTACAACAGTGTTCCTATCATATTACTGATCAGCAATGTGCCTCCCTCCTACAACAGTGTTCCTATCATATTACTGATCAGCAATGTGCCCCTCCCTCCTACAACAACAGTGTTCCTATCATATTACTGATCAGCAATGTGCCTCCCTCCTACAACAGTGTTCCTATCATATTACTGATCAGCAATGTGCCTCCTCCTACTACAACAGTGTTCCTATCATATTACTGATCAGCAATGTGCCTCCCTCCTACAACAGTGTTCCTATCATATTACTGATCAGCAATGTGCCCCTCCCTACACAACAGATCAGCAATGTGCCTCCTCTGCTACAACAGTGTTCCTATCATATTACTGATCAGCAATGTGCCTCCCTCCTACAACAGTGTTCCTATCATATTACTGATCAGCAATGTGCCCCCTCCTACAACAGTGTTCCTATCATATTACTGATCAGCAATGTGCCTCCTCCTACAACAGTGTTCCTATCATATTACTGATCAGCAATGTGCCTCCCTACTCCTACAACAGTGTTCCTATCATATTACTGATCAGCAATGTGCCTCCCTCCTACAACAGTGTATCCTATCATATTACTGATCAGCAATGTGCCTCCCTGCTACAACAGTGTTCTATCATATTACTGATCAGCAATGTGCCTCCCTCCTACAACAGTGTTCCTATCATATTACTGATCAGCAATGTGCCTCCTCCTACAACAGTGTTCCTATCATATTACTGATCAGCAATGTGCCTCCCTCCTACAACAGTGTTCCTATCATATATTACTGATCAGCAATGTGCCTCCCTGCTACAACAGTGTCCCTATCATATTACTGATCAGCAATGTGCCTCCTCCTACAACAACAGTGTCCCTATCATATTACTGATCAGCAATGTGCCTCCCTCCTACAACAGTGTTCCTATCATATTACTGATCAGCAATGTGCCTCCCTCCTACAACAGTGTCCCTATCATATTACTGATCAGCAATGTGCCTCCTCCTACAACAGTGTTCCTATCATATTACTGATCAGCAATGTGCCTCCCTCCTACAACAGTGTTCCTATCATATTACTGATCAGCAATGTGCCTCCCTGCTACAACAGTGTTCCTATCATATTACTGATCAGCAATGTGCCTCCCTCCTACAACAGTGTTCCTATCATATTACTGATCAGCAATGTGCCTCCTGCTGCAACAACAGTGTTCCTATCATATTACTGATCAGCAATGTGCCTCCCTCCTACAACAGTGTTCCTATCATATTACTGATCAGCAATGTGCCTCCCTGCTACAACAGTGTTCCTATCATATTACTGATCAGCAATGTGCCTCCCTGCTACAACAGTGTTCCTATCATATTACTGATCAGCAATGTGCCTCCCTCCTACAACAGTGTTCCTATCATATTACTGATCAGCAATGTGCCTCCCTCCTACAACAGTGTCCCTATCATATTACTGATCAGCAATGTGCCCCCTCCTACAACAGTGTTCCTATCATATTACTGATCAGCAATGTGCCTCCCTCCTACAACAGTGTTCCTATCATATTACTGATCAGCAATGTGCCTCCCTGCTACAACAGTGTTCCTATCATATTACTGATCAGCAATGTGCCTCCCTCCTACAACAGTGTTCCTATCATATTACTGATCAGCAATGTGCCTCCCTCCTACAACAGTGTTCCTATCATATTACTGATCAGCAATGTGCCTCCCTCCTACAACAGTGTTCCTATCATATTACTGATCAGCAATGTGCCTCCCTGCTACAACAGTGTTCCTATCATATTACTGATCAGCAATGTGCCCCTCCTACAACAGTGTTCCTATCATATTACTGATCAGCAATGTGCCCCCTCCTACAACAGTGTTCCTATCATATTACTGATCAGCAATGTGCCTCCCTGCTACAACAGTGTTCCTATCATATTACTGATCAGCAATGTGCCTCCCTCCTACAACAGTGTTCCCTATCATATTACTGATCAGCAATGTGCCCCCTACAACTACAACAGTGTCCCTATCATATCATACTGATCAGCAATGTGCCTCCCTGCTACAACAGTGTACCTATCATATTACTGATCAGCAATGTGCCCCCTCCTACAACAGTGTTCCTATCATATTACTGATCAGCAATGTGCCTCCCTGCTACAACAGTGTTCCTATCATATTACTGATCAGCAATGTGCCCCTCCTACAACAGTGTTCCTATCATATTACTGATCAGCAATGTGCCTCCCTCCTACAACAGTGTTCCTATCATATTACTGATCAGCAATGTGCCTCCCTCCTACAACAGTGTTCCTATCATATTACTGATCAGCAATGTGCCTCCCTGCTACAACAGTGTTCCTATCATATTACTGATCAGCAATGTGCCTGTGCCTCCCTGCTACAACAGTGTCCCTATCATATTACTGATCAGCAATGTGCCCCCTGCTACAACAGTGTTCCTATCATATTACTGATCAGCAATGTGCCTCCCTGCTACAACAGTGTCACTATCATATTACTGATCAGCAATGTGCCTCCCTCCTACAACAGTGTCCCTATCATATTACTGATCAGCAATGTGCCTCCCTGCTACAACAGTGTTCCTATCATATTACTGATCAGCAATGTGCCCCCTCCTACAACAGTGTTCCTATCATATTACTGATCAGCAATGTGCCTCCCTGCTACAACAGTGTTCCTATCATATTACTGATCAGCAATGTGCCTCCCTGCTACAACAGTGTTCCTATCATATTACTGATCAGCAATGTGCCTCCCTGCTACAACAGTGTCCCTATCATATTACTGATCAGCAATGTGCCCCCCTACAACAGTGTTCCTATCATATTACTGATCAGCAATGTCCCCCTCCTACAACAGTGTCACTATCATATTACTGATCAGCAATGTGCCTCCCTGCTACAACAGTGTTCCTATCATATTACTGATCAGCAATGTGCCTCCCTGCTGCTACAACAGTGTTCCTATCATATTACTGATCAGCAATGTGCCCCCTCCTACAACAGTGTACCTATCATATTACTGATCAGCAATGTGCCCCCTCCTACAACAGTGTTCCTATCATATTACTGATCAGCAATGTGCCTCCCTGCTACAACAGTGTTCCTATCATATTACTGATCAGCAATGTGCCTCCCTGCTACAACAGTGTTCCTATCATATTACTGATCAGCAATGTGCCTCCCTCCTACAACAGTGTTCCTATCATATTATCAGCAATGTGATCAGCAATGTGCCTCCCTGCTACAACAGTGTTCCTATCATGATCAGCAATGTGCTGATCAGCAATGTGCTGATCAGCAATGTGCCTCCCTGCTACAACAGTGTCCCTATCATATTACTGATCAGCAATGTGCCTCCTGCTACAACAGTGTTGTCCTATCATATTACTGATCAGCAATGTGCCCCCTCCTACAACAGTGTCCCTATCATATTACTGATCAGCAATGTGCCTCCCTGCTACAACAGTGTTCCTATCATATTACTGATCAGCAATGTGCCTCCCTCCTACAACAGTGTGTCCTATCATATTACTGATCAGCAATGTGCCCCTCCTACAACAGTGTTCCTATCATATTACTGATCAGCAATGTCCCTCTACAACAATGTGTGTCCCTATCATATTACTGATCAGCAATGTGCCTCCCTGCTACAACAGTGTTCCTATCATATTACTGATCAGCAATGTGCCCTCCTGCTACAACAGTGTTCCTATCATATTACTGATCAGCAATGTGCCTCCTCCTCCTACAACAGTGTCAACAGTGTCATCATTACTGATCAGCAATGTGCCCCTCCTACAACAGTGTTCCTATCATATTACTATGATCAGCAATGTGCCTCCCTCCTACAACAGTGTTCCTATCATATTACTGATCAGCAATGTGCCCTCCTGCTACAACAGTGTTCCTATCATATCATATTACTGATCAGCAATGTGCCTCCCTCCTACAACAGTGTTCCTATCATATTACTGATCAGCAATGTGCCTCCCTCCTACAACAGTGTCCCTCCATATTACTGATCAGCAATGTGCCTCCCTGCTACAACAGTGTTCCTATCATATTACTGATCAGCAATGTGCCTCCTGCTACAACAGTGTTCCTATCATATTACTGATCAGCAATGTGCCCCCCTACAACAGTGTTCCTATCATATTACTGATCAGCAATGTGCCTCCCTCCTACAACAGTCCCTCCTACAACATCAGCAATGTTCCTATCATACAGTACTGATCAGCAATGTGCCTCCCTGCTACAACAACAGTGTCCTATCATATTACTGATCAGCAATGTGCCTCCCTGCTACAACAGTGTTCCTATCATATTACTGATCAGCAATGTGCCCCCTCCTACAACAGTGTTCCTATCATATTACTGATCAGCAATGTGCCCCCTGCTACAACAGTGTTCCTATCATATTACTGATCAGCAATGTGCCTCCCTGCTACAACAGTGTCCCTATCATATTACTGATCAGCAATGTGCCTCCCTCCTACAACAGTGTTCCCTATCATATTACTGATCAGCAATGTGCCTCCCTGCTACAACAGTGTTCCTATCATATTACTGATCAGCAATGTGCCTCCCTGCTACAACAGTGTTCCTATCATATTACATCAGCAATGTGCCTCCTCTGCTACTGATCAGCAATGTGCCCCCTCCTACAACAGTGTTCCTATCATATTACTGATCAGCAATGTGCCTCCCTCCTACAACAGTGTTCCTATCATATTACTGATCAGCAATGTGCCCCCTGCTACTACAACAGTGTCCCTATCATATTACTGATCAGCAATGTGCCCCCCTGCTACAACAGTGTCCCTATCATATTACTGATCAGCAATGTGCCTCCCTCCTACAACAGTGTTCCTATCATATTACTGATCAGCAATGTGCCTCCCTGCTACAACAGTGTCCAATGTATCATATTACTGATCAGCAATGTGCCCCCCTGCTACAACAGTGTTCCTATCATATTACTGATCAGCAATGTGCCTCCTCCTACAACAGTGTTCCTATCATATTACTGATCAGCAATGTGCCTCCTCTACTACAACAGTGTTCCTATCATATTACTGATCAGCAATGTGCCTCCCTGCTACAACAGTGTTCCTATCATATTACTGATCAGCAATGTGCCTCCCTGCTACAACAGTGTTCCTATCATATTACTGATCAGCAATGTGCCTCCCTGCTACAACAGTGTTCCTATCATATTACTGATCAGCAATGTGCCTCCCTGCTACAACAGTGTTCCTATCATATTACTGATCAGCAATGTGCCTCCCTCCTACAACAGTGTTCCTATCATATTACTGATCAGCAATGTGCCTCCCTGCTACAACAGTGTTCCTATCATATTACTGATCAGCAATGTGCCTCCCTGCTACAACAGTGTCCCTATCATATTACTGATCAGCAATGTGCCTCCCTGCTACAACAGTGTCACTATCATATTACTGATCAGCAATGTGCCCCCCTCCTACAACAGTGTTCCTATCATATTACTGATCAGCAATGTGCCTCCCTCCTACAACAGTGTTCCTATCATATTACTGATCAGCAATGTGCCTCCCTGCTACAACAGTGTTCCTATCATATTATCAGCAATACTGATCAGCAATGTGCCTCCCTCCTACAACAGTGTTCCTATCATATTACTGATCAGCAATGTGCCTCCCTCCTACAACAGTGTTCCTATCATATTACTGATCAGCAATGTGCCTCCCTCCTACAACAGTGTTCCTATCATATTACTGATCAGCAATGTGCCCCCTGCTACAACAGTGTTCCTATCATATTACTGATCAGCAATGTGCCCCTCCTACAACAGTGTTCAACAGTGTTCCTATCATATTACTGATCAGCAATGTGCCTCCCTCCTACAACAGTGTTCCTATCATATTACTGATCAGCAATGTGCCTCCCTGCTACAACAGTGTTCCTATCATATTACTGATCAGCAATGTGCCTCCCTCCTACAACAGTGTTCCTATCTATCATATTACTGATCAGCAATGTGCCTCCCTGCTACAACAGTGTTCCTATCATATTACTGATCAGCAATGTGCCTCCCTCCTACAACAGTGTCCCTATCATATTACTGATCAGCAATGTGCCTCCCTGCTACAACAGTGTCCCTATCATATTACTGATCAGCAATGTGCCTCCCTGCTACAACAGTGTCCCTATCATATTACTGATCAGCAATGTGCCCCTGCTCCCTGCTACAACAGTGTCCCTATCATATTACTGATCAGCAATGTGCCCTGATCAGCAATGTGCCTCCTACAACAGTGTGTCCTATCATATTACTGATCAGCAATGTGCCCCCTCCTACAACAGTGTTCCTATCATATTACTGATCAGCAATGTGCCTCCCTGCTACAACAGTGTTCCTATCATATTACTGATCAGCAATGTGCCCCTGCTACAACAGTGTCCCTATCATATTACTGATCAGCAATGTGCCTCCCTGCTACAACAGTGTTCATATTACTATCATATTACTGATCAGCAATGTGCCTCCCCTCCTACAACAGTGTTCCTATCATATTACTGATCAGCAATGTGCCTCCCTCCTACAACAGTGTTCCTATCATATTACTGATCAGCAATGTGCCTCCCTGCCTACAACAGTGTTCCTATCATATTACTGATCAGCAATGTGCCTCCCAGTCTGCTACAACAGTGTTCCTATCATATCATGTGATCAGCAATGTGCCTCCCTCCTACAACAGTGTCCTATCATATTACTGATCAGCAATGTGCCTCCCAACAGTGCTACAACATCAGTGTGCCCTATCATCATTACTGATCAGTGTACAATGTGCAGCAATGTGCCCCTCCTACAACAGTGTCCCTATCATATTACTGATCAGCAATGTGCCTGCCCTGCTACAACAGTGTTACTATCATATTACTGATCAGCAATGTGCCTCCCTGCTACAACAGTGTCCTATCATATTACTGATCAGCAATGTGCCTCCCTCCTACAACAGTGTGCCTCCTATCATATTACTGATCAGCAATGTGCCTCCCTGCTACAACAGTGTCCCTATCATATTACTGATCAGCAATGTGCCCCCTCCTACAACAGTGTCCCCTATCATATTACTGATCAGCAATGTGCCTCCCTCCTACAACAGTGTTCTACAACAGATGTGCCCCTCCTACAACAGTGTATCATCATATTACTGATCAGCAATGTGCCTCCCTGCTACAACAGTGTCCCTATCATATTACTGATCAGCAATGTGTCTCCCTGCTACAACAGTGTCCCTATCATATTACTGATCAGCAATGTGCCCCCTGCTACAACAGTGTTCCTATCATATTACTGATCAGTGCCTGTGCCCCTGCTACAACAGTGTCCCCATCATATCACTGATCAGCAATGTGCCAAGCTGCTACAGTTAAAGTGATGTGCTGCACTCTCTACAGCAGTGAAGCATTAAAGTACCAGTACCAGACTCTCCTGTGGTAAAGTAGTATTATGTATACAATAAATGGATAGGGTGTAACAAATAAGTGAAACAAACTTACAATTGTTGGCATTTATTGTTTACATTGTTTGACATGATTATACAGTTAAACCAGAAATTATTAAGAATTTAAGATTGTAATTTTTTTATTTTTTCACTCATTACTCACATATTAAATGTGAATATTAGCAGAACATAACTCGGATTCAAAGACAGGTGAACAGTTAGTATTTTGTCAAGTCACCATGGGCAGCAGTGCAGGCTTCAATGCGGCAGGGCATACTACTGAGCAAAGAAGTTAGAAAGTCATGGTCCATGCTGTCCCAATATCGGACCACCTCTTCTTTCATTTCAGCAATATTTGTCAGATTTTTCTTATTGACACTTTCCTTCATAAGTCCCAAACATTTTCTATTGGATTTAGGTCAGGGCTATAGCTTGGCCAATCTAATAATGTCATATTTTGGGTCCAAAACCAGGCCTGTGAATGCTTTGAACGATGTTTTGGGTCGTTGTCCTGCTGGTAAATCCAAAAATTTCCATAGAACACGAGCGCAGATGGAAGTAAATGTCCCTCGAGAATATCTGTGTACCGCTCACTGTTCATATTACCTTCAAATACACAGAGGGGCGTTGCCCCTAACACAGATATGCCACCCCACACGTTAAATTTCGGACTGTACTTTGAAGCTGATACAAAGGTTTTCAGTTTGTTTGGTCCAGAATTTCAGTGTAGTAGGAAACAGCCACACAGAACTTTCATCTGAGAAAATCACATTGTCCCAGTTAAAATTTCTATGCTGTAAGCACCAGTTCAACCTTCGCTCCTTTTGTTCAGGTTTCATGATCGGTGATGGAATTCCTCGACTTTCCTGCCAACCTATTGCATGCAGCTCAGTTCTTATTGTCTCCTTACAGACAGCAACAGTTCCTCTATCATATCCAGCCTTAAGTTTTCTAAACTCCTTAGTTTGTTTTTAGAAACAAGAATACCAAGACGCCTCCTGTCATCGACAGTCAATTTTCTGGGCCTACCTGCGCCTCCCTGGTGCTCAGTGCCATATCCATTTGCAATATTTTTCAAAACACGATAAACAGTAGACAAAGGGATGCCTGCTCTACCTGAAATCACTTTAGCTGATCTGATGTCCTTGTTATAATACTCTAAAATCAACTTCCTCTTCTCTAAATCATCCATACTGAGGATCACTGAAAATGTCGTCTGCTAGCAAGTAAACAAAGGGGGATAACTCTTCACAAACTAATGAAAAAGGATTAACGGAGTTGTCTCTCTTGAATGAAACCAAGCACTTGATAGCTGGTCATGGTTGTTTATACTAGAAATCAAATTAAACATATTCCCAAAATTCTAAATAATTTCTGGTCATACTGTATATATATTTACACTGTACATGCTTTTCAACAAAATCACAAAGACAAGATTACTGGAATCGCTTTCTGCAGTCAGTTGATCATGAAGATGTTGACTGGGCACTCACTGTTGCCAGAGCAGTCATAGCTACCCGGACACTCACTGTTGCCAGAGCAGTTGTAGTTGCCTGGGCACTCACTGTTGCCAGAGCAGTCGTAGTTGCCCGGACACTTACTGTTGCCTGAGCAGTTGTAGTTGCCCGGACACTCACTGTTGCCAGAGCAGTTGTAGTTGCCCAGACACTTATAGTTGCCCAGACTCTCACTGTTGCCAGAACAGTTGTAGTTGCCTTAGCACTCACTGTTGCCAGAGCAGTTGTAGTTGCCCTGGCACTCGCTGTTGCCTGGGTGATTGCGACTGCCAGACATTGAGGATGATGAAGGAACCCTCCCACTTAACAGGAAGGTGTGGGGAGACAGCTTGTCACATCTGAGTCATAGTTCACATGAATAAGTGTTACTAAATCAAGCTTGGGTTTTATGCAGTGATGAATTTAGCAAAGTGGAATACCTAACAGTGGAAAATGTTATCATGGTGTTTCTTTTAAATCAATGTACGTTTGGATGACTGATGACTTGCCCACGGGGAATTCCCATGCTGACTGTAAGAGGCAACTGGTAGATGGGCCGGGCATGTGTTGTTATATAGACAGGACATTGCTGGATGGGGCATTAACACAAAAATGACATGCTCTTTGGAGAAACTGATAACTGGCCGGTGACTACATCACAGGATCGCTGCCTCTTTCATACTTATCCCTTATCTTTGACTAAACCATATGATCACCGCGTCTTACAGACTCATTTCTGATCTATGACTAAACCACACGATTACCGCCGCATCTTAGTGACTCATTTCTGATCTTAAACAACATGATCACTGTCTCTTGCAGACTTGTCTCTAATCATTGCTGAATGTAGATGTACACTTTTAAATTCTCGTACATGATACTTCAATCATGTTTTCACTGATATGCTGTACTTGTCAAGATCTGCCTGGCTTACATCAGCAGGGGCTTGGCTCATTGGATCCTTGCCATCATGTGACTTGGGGAAGGCGATGACGTCTCTGATGCTGTTCGTACCACAGATGATTGCCAACAGTCTGTCCAGACCTGCCAACCAACAAAAGTGGAGTCTGGTGTCAAGTCATTCATTCACAACTGGACAGTGTCACTTGACATAGCCAGAGACTTACAAGAGAGCTAGTTACAGCTAGACGGTGTAACTAATTAGAGCAGCTGAACAGTGTCACCAGTTTGTAACTGAATGACAACAGAAAGTGTCACAAGACAAAAAGCTGGAAAGCCTGAATCCAGCAGGTGCTCCAACTGACCAGCATGTAACCATGACAACCTGTGTCTTACCTAGTGCAATGCCTCCATGAGGGGGACAGCCAGAGTCCAGTGCATCCAGCAGGTGCTCCAACTGACCAGCATCCTCCTACAACACAGCAACAGCTACAACATTATCTGCATCATCAATTTTCAAATTACAGCATCAATGCTCTGTCCTATAAACAATTCAGGCAATCTGTAAAGTAGCCCATACTGTTAAACCACTAATGATGTTCGTCGTCCACCATCATACAAATGATGAACTTGTCAATACAGGTACATTCTCCACCGCTTCAACACAACTTATTGTTTGTCTCCACCCCTCCAAATCAATTATATTGCAACGTACATTATGCCTTCAGTACTTTCGTGTCAGATGGGTTCTCATGTATACTTTGTTAAGATATTCATCTCTGTCATGAAAACCCTACGGAGAGCTGGAGCAAAAGGTCATGCTGATTCATAAAGCTATGTTGTCAGGAGCTATGCTGCACAATGAAAGATTTGCAATTGGCCAGTCTGATTTTAATGTTTATGAAAAAGTGATTTGTTTACAGACGAGGGGCAACCATCCGGAGAGAAGCCACACAAGGGCCAAGTAGACTGAGCTATTGTTTGCAAACAGTGGATCCAAGCAGTCAACATGGTGGCCCCTTAACACAGGGCTGACTGCATTCCAAATATATTGCCTGACTGTCAGCATACTGTTGGCAATCCCTACATTGCTGAAGCTTGGCAATCCTTACATTGTTGTAGCTTGGCAATCCCTACATTGTTGTAGCTTGGCAATCCCTACATTGTTGTAGCTTGGCAATCCCTTTATTGTTGTAGCTTGGCAATCCCTACATTGTTGTAGCTTGGCAATCCCTACATTGTTGTAGCTTGGCAATCCCTACATTGCTGAAGCTTGGCAATCCTTAAATTGTTGTAGCTTGGCAATCCCTACATTGTTGTAGCTTGGCAATCCCTACATTGCTGAAGCTTGGCAATCCTTACATTGTTGTAGCTTGGCAATCCCTACATTGTTGTAGCTTGGCAATCCCTACATTGTTGTAACTTGGCAATCCCTACATTGCTGAAGCTTGGCAATCCCTACATTGTTGTAGCTTGGCAATCCCTACATTGCTGAAGCTTGGCAATCCCTACATTGCTGAAGCTTGGTAATCCCTACATTGCTGAAGCTTGGCAATCCCTACATTGTTGTAGCTTGGTAATCCCTACATTGTTGTAGCTTAGCAATCCCTACATTGTTGTAGCCTGGCAATCCCTACATTGTTGTAGCTTGGCAATCCCTACATTGTTGTAGCTTGGCAATCCCTACATTGTTGTAGCTCTTACTGGATCACAATATGATCTGTGTGACGGAGTGTAACCAATGGGAGGACACACCTAATAAACCTCCAGTGACGTCACTCTATTGTCTCGCCAGGTTCTCCTTTTACCAAGTAAACCTCTACTGGCAGTTTCGTGGACATTCTCCAAGAAATCCAGGGGATTTTCTACAGAACTGCCTGGGTCCCAGGGATTTTCTGAGGAATTGCCCTGGGATTTTCTGAGGAGAGCCCTTGACTTTGAATTATTTTACTTGAACACATTTTGAATACGATCGTAAAATATCACATCATTGAAAACTTCCAATATATTGTGCCGAAGCCTGGTTTCAAACTTGCAACCCTTCGCTTCCTAGTTTGGCGATTATATCCACTAGGCTACGAAGGATTGCTGTGAAGAATGTGATTGTTTGTAGTATGAACCATGTGTTCCTCACAAGATAGGTAGTGCATGCAGCGCACATGCAGGACAGGGGTAGAGCATGTGCATCGAGTGTGCATGGCTGCCAGTCGCATCCCAGTTGATTTCAACAGTAAATACCAAATATTAACATCATGTCTAAAGTATATCTTTGGTTGGTTCATAAGTTGGATCAAAACGCCCTCCTCAGTTTTGTTTGAAAAAGTAAGCCCTTGGCCTGAGGAAATTGGGTTGGACCTATCGACCCTCCCAAATGTTTCAAACAAAACCTCGGAGTCAGTTTTGATCCTTCGCATCAGAGTGTGGGCTGTTTTACAGTCTGGGGAGTTTACCTGTAAAATGTTTTCCAGGACATATCTCTGCATCCTGGAGTTGTGAATTCGGATGGAGCCACCTCCAATCTCAGCACCATTCAGAACCAGATCATAATGTTGACTCCGCACCTGTTGACACACACATGTAGCATCTTACACACATGTAGCACCTTACACACATGTAGCACCTTACACACACATGTATCACCTTACACACACATGTAGCACCTTACACACACATGTAGCACCGTTACACAAATGTAGCACCTTACACACCACATGTAGCACCTTACACACATGTAGCACCTTACACACACATGTAGCACCTTACACACACATGTAGCACCATACACACATGTAGCATGTTACACACACATGTAGCACCTTACACACACATGTAGCACCTTACACACATGTAGCACCTTACACACACATGTAGCACCTTACACACACATGTAGCACCTTACTCACACATGTAACACCTTACACACACATGTAACACCTTACACACATATGCAGCACCTTACACACACATGTAGCACCTTACACACACATGTAGCACCTTACACACATATGTAGCACCTTACACACATATGTAGCACCTTACACACATGAAGCACCTTGCTCCTATATGTAGCACCTTACACATGTCACACCTTACACACATGTAGCACCTTGCTCCTATATGTAGCACCTTACACACACATGTAGAACCTTACACAGATGTAGCACCTTGCTCCTATACGTAGCACCTTACTCACACATGTAACACCTTACACACATGTAGCACCTTGCTCCTCACATGTCTCCTATATGTAGCACCTTAATCACACATGTAGCACCTCACTCCTATATGTAGCACCTTACACAAACATGTAGCAGCTTACACACACATGTAGCACCTACACACATGTAGCACCTTACACACACATGTAGCACCTTACACACATGTAGCACCTTACACACACATGTAGCACCTTACACACACATGTAGCACCTTACACACACATGTAGCACCTTACACACACATGTAGCACCTTACTTCCATATGCAGCACCTTGCTCCCATAAGTAGCACCTTACTTCAATATGTAGCACCTTACACACACATGTAGCACGCATCCACCGTGTGTGTAGCATGTTGTACACACATCAGTTCATAACACCTCCAATATACACATCCACCTGACGTATGTGTAGCACGTAAACACATCAATATATAGCACATCAAAAGCACATGTGTGGCACCTCTAACACAAATGGACCCGTGAAGATCCGGGGTAGAATAGGTCTTCAGTAACCCATGTGCTTGCCATAAAAAGGCGACTATCTTGTCGTAAGAGGCGACTAACGGGATCGGGTGGTCAGTTTGGCTGACTTGGTTGACAAATGTCATCGGTTCCCAATTGCGCAGATCGATGCTCATGCTGTTGATCACTGGATTGTCTGGTCCAGACTCGATTATTTACAGACCGCCGCCATATAGCTGGAATATTGCTGAGTGCGGCGTAAAACTAAACTCACTCACTCACTCTAACACAAATGCAGGATTTCATCATTGTTTTGTCTGACTGAGATGTGTGTGCGCATGTGTTCATACATATGTGTGTATGTACCTACCTTCTCAGGGTGTGTGTACAGTAGGTGTTCATCCTCGGTGTGCGGGGCTGTGAAGGGATGGTGGGCAGACTCAACTCCCTCTGCAACATGAAGCCACCAAGATTGTACTGATCATCAACTGACAAGATTATACATTACCATCCAGAATCATCGCCTCTCATACTTTAAAGTAGACTTTATGACTGCAGCCGCACTACAACCATCAACATGCATAGTTACCTAGCTAGCTATCTAGCCTAGCCTACTACCTATCCCTCCTGCAATGCTAAAGCTCTTCGTGAAGCAAGTCTAGATTTCCTCACTTTTCTTGCAGATGGTAACAGAACCACTTTAGGGGTTGGGTCCCTGAATCTCCCATCTCACTTTGGCTCCTTCTTGATTTAATGGGATTACTGTTACTATCAAAGTTATGTACATTCAGAGATGTTAGGCTAGGCTCTATGCCATATATGACACTTCTTGCACAGCATTCATTGATACCACCCGTCACATGACGCTCATTATAAACATGGCACTCATCATGATTGTGATTACACGGAACTCAAGATTACACAACACTCTCAACCCAACTCTCTACCTTGCCCATCTTCTCTTGGCAGAAACAAAGGAAAGTCCTCCACCCACAGGAAGTGGAATCCAGAACCAGACCTAACCGTCACACCTGTACAGAAGAGATGGATGTAATCAACACTCCTGCAGATGGAATATGAAATGCAACGGACACACCTGCAGAGACATATGGAAACTAGTGGACACACATGCACAGGGATATGGAATCTAGTGAACATACTTGCACAGGGTTATAGAATCTAGTGGACACACCTGCACATGGATATGGAAGCTATTGGACACACCTGCACTGGGATATGAAATCTACTGGAAACACCTGCACAGGGATATGGAATCTAATGGACACACCTGCACAGGGATATGGAATCTAGTGGACACATCTGCACAGGCATCTAGTGGACACATGTAGTGGACACACCACACCTGCACAGGGATATGGAATCTACTGGACACACCTGCACAGGCATACGGAATGTAGTGGACACACCTGCACGGGATATGGTATCTAGTGGACACACCTGCACAGGGATATGGAATCTAGTGGACACACCTGCACAGGGATATGGAATATAATGAACACACCTGCACAGGGAATAAGGAATGTAATCAACACATCTGAACAGGGTTTATGGGATGCAATGGACATACCTGTAGTGGGAATATGGAATGTAATAGACACACCTGCACCCATTAAAAGACACTGAGCTTGCCAGAGCCCAGCAATGTTACAAGTATTATCTTTTTACCATAGGGACATACTAGTATTACTAAGTTAGGCATTGAACCACGAACAATATCTCCACTAGAACATGCAGTCTAATCCCAATCACAAAAAGCAAAAAGGTAAACAAAATTCCAGTATGTATCTGAAAAGGGTTCACTGGTTTTTTACTAACCTGTTATAATTACATAGTTGCCATGTATATGGGTTATGGAAACTCTTCCTATATATTTGTATCCATTAATAAAGATGAGAAATGGTGACATATCAGGGAACATTACAGCTGCGTGGAATATTGTGTAACTTGCATCATTTACTACTTACATCAATAAAAAGTTGAAATTCCCTTCAGTGCCCCAACTGATGTAGTATCAATTGACAACACCGCCCTCCTCTCCACATGTTGTTAATTAGCCTCATTACACACAGCTAATTGTTCTTTTGACCCTGGCCTTATCTGAGGCGGATGTGGAGGGCAGTGATAACACCCAGTATCTCTCTGACCAGGGCCAGTACATACACAGGGTATAACCCAGGAATGTCCCGGGGAGACTTGAACACTAATATTAGCCTCATATCATCACACAATAGTTATGTTTTGGTGGGTCACACACCTTGGTACAGAATCAAGAATACCAAACTATTTGTGAGTCACAACGTCTCCCTTTGTGTTGTAACTATCTTCACTCGGTATGACCTCCATCTCTGAAGGAAACTCATTACACAGACAACAGTACCATGTCTGGTAACCATGGACACTGCAGATACTGTACAATACTGATGATACTGACGGATTAACATAAAGATTTTGGTTTGGTTTGGTTAGTTGTTTTATGCCGCACTCAGCAATATTCCAGCTATATGATGGCTACCTGTAAATAATCGAGTCTGGATCAGACAATCCAGTGATCAACAGCATGAGCATCAATCTACACAATTGGGATACAATGACATGTGTCAACCAAGTCAGCGAGCCTGACCACCCAATCCTGTTAGTCGCCTCTTACGACAAGCATGGGTTACTGAAGATCAATTCTAACCCAGATCTTCACGGGTTTTAACATAAAGTAACATCTACTGAATGTACAAAGCAGAGTAAAGACAAGCGCCACCCTAGTGAGCAGATTATGCAGTATTCTGTTGTACAAGTATCTGTTACCTCTTGCTTCCAGTGACTCTGCACACATCAGTCTGGCACGGCCCAGATAGGTCAGCTGGAGGAAGAACCAACAACTATGTTAATACTGATCCTACTTTCCTGTTTCCTCACTAAGCATCACCGCAAGTTTAGCAATGTTGTATCTGAGATTGTTTACCTAAATATACGACCGCCTCCATGGTGTAGTGGTTTGAGCGTCCGCCTGGAGAGCGGAAGGTCGCGGGTTTGATCCCCGACCGTGTCATACCAAAACACGTGAAAATATGGTACTTGTTGGTCCCTCAAGCAGCCTGGCGTTCGGCATTAATGGGTACAACAAGGACTGGTCGGCTCAGTGTCAGTATAATGTGTCTGAGTGGGGTATTCATGCTTCACTGCGGCATGGTATCTCAATGAGCTAGCACTATAAAACCAGCTTAAGTCTGGGCTAGTACAAGCAGCCGCACCTACACATACACATGCATGCACGTCGTCATATGAGCGGAGTATTCTCAAGCACAACGTTAAACCCAATTTCACCTCACCTAAATATACACTAACAACTCACCAATGCATGGTTTTCTATGTATCGTATTTTCCCTGAATAAACACACACAATTAATCACTTTGTGTATTCTAATGGTGTTTGAAAACGGTATAAGTATCCATACCAAAATGTTGCTATTATACAATAAAGAAGTTGTTCATTTCCTCATCACTTCATACAGTGTCATTCTACCTTTAATTACAACCACTGAAAATAAGCAGAAAGACAAATTCTGGCTTGTAAAATCTGAAGATTTGTAAAATTTTACATGACATCTTTTCTTTAGGTAACACAGATATTAAGTAACAACTAACCACTTGCTTGACAACAGTATAGGAATCTATACGGACAAATCGCATCATAATATAAAAAAGAAGTTGTTATCTGTAAGGTATCACACCTTTTCTTATTATTCATCAACTTCTAAACTGCCAGTCAAACAGATTAACTAACCACATGGTCTGTTTCCCCTGTTACCATGACGACAATGTCATTAGGCTGCACATTCAGTCTGTCTGAGATGGATTGCTTCACATCCTCAGTCAGAGACTTGGCCACACCCCCTTGCCATGTGCTCTCTTCCTGGATCTTCACAGTCATGACATTCTGTAACAAACATTCACTATGTTACCATGACAACTAAAATATCAGATATTCTGATCTAGAAGTCCCTGTGATGGTTCTTTACAGTCACACCATACTGAAACAAACATAGTCTATGCTACCATGAAACTCAGATATTCTGACTGCAAAGTCCCTTCCATAATCCCAACAGTTATAACATACTGTAACCAGGGATACTCTACAACAGGGATAGGTCACTCGCTTTCTTTCTTTACCATTTGTACATATTAACGTGTGCCTCGTCATGCTCCAACGCACACAGTGACTTGGTTCAGTCCCAGCGCAACTTCGGCTGCGTTTAACAGTACTTCAGCCAGTGTATTGTATCAGTCGGAATTTTACAATTAATGAATGAATGAATTAAGAGCAAGAATTATATGAGAATGAATGAAAGAAATAAAGAAAAAGAACAAAAGAAAGAAATACATATGTGAATGAATGAAAGAATAAATGATACACCACGGCCATCCCTCCCCAAACATGTTAAAGAACGCAAAACTATCGGTAGAACACATGTGCTAACATCAGCTGTCCTTTTTTTTTAAAATCTACTTTGAGACATTTTTTCACATTAGTAACTAATTCAGATATCTTATTGCATGTGTGGAATGGCATGGGCATTGACAGAATGTTAACTGACACTGTCACAGACCCCTCAAAAACAGAAAGTTTAGAACTATCACAAAGCGTTGTAAACACCTTTCCAGTTTTGTCACATACTAAGATCAACAAGAAAGAAAGAAGTTTTAGAACTATAGCACTCAAGCATCACAAGCATCAATGGCGTATCAGAACAGATCGGGATATGTCATATTTTTCACACACCTCAAATACACCCTAACAAATTTTTTTAAAATTATAAAACTATCACTATTACTTGCAAACACCTTTCACCTGATGGTATATTCCCCTCATAAAATTAAAGGTGTAGGTATCATCAGATATTCTGATCTAGAATATCACACCCAGCCATAGATCTTCACAGTAATACTATACTGTAACAATACATTCTCTATGACAACTAAATCATCAGATATTCTGATCTGAGAATATCACACCCAGCCATAGATCTTCACAGTAATACTATACTGTAAGAAACATTCTCTATGACAACTAAATCATCAGATATTCTGATCTAGAATATCACACCCAGCCATAGATCTTCACAGTAATACTATACTGTAACAAACATTCTCTATGACAACTAAATCATCAGATATTCTGATCTAGAATATCACACCCAGCCATAGATCTTCACAGTAATACTATACTGTAACACACATTCTCTATGACAACTAAATCATTAGATATTCTGATCTAGAAGTAACTGCGATGGATCTTCACAGTCATGAATATGACTGCCAAGTCACTAAGAAGATACAGAGCAAGATAAGGTTATTGGAAGGTAGTAAAATAGCCAAATGTCTCATCAGCAAATGTATGACAAGTTATATATGTATTAAAGCGACAGCTATACTCTGGTTTAAACACAAAGAATGTAGAAGTATAACCTACACTAAGTCAGAAATGTTTATCAACTGAAGAGGTTATCTGATACTGACAGTACAGATGTTGGTCAGTGTTGAGACTAGGGTGTGGAGTGTGTAACAAGCACCACCTCACTCTGATGGCTGAACCCAGGCAGGGAGGAGGGATCCTATTACCCAGCGGGAGGGTGTTCATTTTCCTCCAGTGACACAGGATCCCCCATATCAGCTTGCGAGTAGGAGGAGGCTGTACTATCTCCCCCCCCCCCCCAAGGTGCAGTGCTAGCAATGGTGGGTAACCCTTAGACTAACGCTTAGTCTGTGAGTATATATAATTTTGATAGCAGCAAACAAACCATATTAAATTGAAAAGGAGCTCCAGGGAGACCAGAGATACAGAACCTGAGGATATCTAGACTTGCTTCACTTAGGGTTTCAGCATTGCAGGGAGGTCTGGGAAGTAGGGAAAATAATGTGGTTCAGGGACTGTGAGACAGACTAAGTAACCCTAAGTGGCTCTAGACTTGTTGAACTGTACTTTAACAAAAACAGAACAGGTGACACTGCTTCACATACAGTTCATTTGATATCATTTGACAACGACGAATTGAACACAAAATCTAATAATTGCAACAAAAGCAAATTTTGCACAGTCACATGAAATCTACAGACCAACTCTGATGATTTGTCTCATAATTGGACACCCGAATTAAAAAGTTGTTTAACAAACGATCATTATTTTGTTGTCACTTTTCGCTATTTTTTCTGAGGGGGGACAACTTGCTGGTAGAACAGCAGAGTTGGTCTGCCGATTTCATGTGACTGTGCAAAATTTGGTTTTGTTGCAATGATTTTGTGAAATCAAACGGACTGTAACTTACACTGATTCACTTAATAAGGCCAGACCAATTTTATTTCTTGTTTTACGGATTTTTGTCCTCAGAAAACCTAAAGGAAGGAAGGAAAAAAAATAAAAATGAAATCACCAGTCAAGGTAATATTCCTTCTAAATACTCAAAGTATTTTACTTTAGCAATTTATGAAGTGTATATGGGGTAAAAAACAATCTAAAAACAAAATTTCTTGTAAGTTTACATTTTTGGCCAATAAAAACATTAGGAATATATTTTTTGAGGGGGAAACTTAATTTTTATTTTTTTTTCTGATTCTTGAAAAAATACGACAGCCGGATCCGTAAAACAAGAAATAAAATTGGTCTGGCCTAAACACAGAATACAAGACATTTTGTTACCAGATTCTAAGTGAGACTACAGTATTGTGCATGTCATGTCATTAAGGTTTCATGGTGCTATGATGTCATGGTGAAAGGATGTCTTGGAACAAGGTCATGGAAAGTCAGCATATACAATCATGACATTGTGAATGGACTGTGGAAAATCAATTACTAATTGAACATGTTTTTTCCAGCCTTTGCCATGATGAGGTTATATATTTTCATCACTTCACCAAATTGAAAAATGAAACAAACCACCCTTAAATAACAGCTGAAAACATTTCTTAATAATGAAATGATAGACAAAGAGAAGGATTCTCCATCTGCCGGTATTTCACTGTGTGCCACTTCAGCTAACCAAACATCAATGTACAATAAGAAGCAAATCTGGACTGATTATAGACAGAACACCTATGGAAAATTCCCGTCTACTGGAGAGAGAACTGACAGCGGGACGTGTATACCTAACAAAAACATGTGTTCCAGCATCTAATAACTATCACAATTGACTGGCTGGTTGGGAGGTCATATCTGTGTCATCAGAGGTGATATCAGGCGCAGTCGTGGAGCCAGTCAGCCAGTCACAACCTGCCAGTGCTCCACGAGCCAGGGGGAGGCGGTCCACATACAACACACACACATACACATGCACTTACAGACGGACAGGATCCCAGGACAGACACTCACAGGTAGGACCTAACCTACTTCTTTACCTTTTTAAGAAATACACACCGAAGACATGTTTCCATATATACTCTTCTGGTGGTCAAACCACCCATGAGATGTCTACATCTGTACCCTTCTTGTAGTAACACCACCCATCACATGTCTACATTTGTACCCTTCTTGTAGTAACACCACCCATCACATGTCTACATCTGTACCCTTCTTGTACTAACACCACCCATCACATGTCTACATCTGTACCCTTCTTGTAGTAACACCACCCATCACATGTCTACATTTGTACCCTTCTTGTAGTAACACCACCCATCACATGTCTACATCTGTACCCTTCTTTTTTGTACTAACACAACCCATAACATGTCTACATCTGTACCCTTCTTGTAGTAACACCACCTATCACATGTCTACATCTGTACCCTTCTTGTAGTAACACCACCCATCACATGTCTACATCTGTACCCTTCTTGTACTAACACCACCCATCACATGTCTACATCTGTACCCTTCTTCTGTACCATCACATGTCTACATCTGTACCCTTCTTGTAGTAACACCACCCATCACATGTCTACATCTGTACCCTTCTTGTAGTAACACCACCCATCACATGTCTACATCTGTACCCTTCTTGTAGTAACACCACCCATCACATGTCTACATCTGTACCCTTCTTGTAGTAACACCACCCATCACTACATCTGTACCCTTCTTGTGTCTACATCTGTACCCTTCTTGTAGTAACACCACCCATCACATGTCTACATCTGTACCCTTCTTGTAGTAACACCACCCATCACATGTCTACATCTGTACCCTTCTTGTAGTAACACCACCCATCACATGTCTACATCTGTACCCTTCTTGTACATAACACCTTTGTACTAACACCATCACACTACATCTGTATCCTTCTTGTAGTAACACCACCTCATCACATGTCTACATCTGTCCCTACATTGTAGTAACACTACCCATCACATGTCTACATCTGTACCCTTCTTGTAGTAACACCACCCATCACATGTCTACATCTGTACCCTTCTTGTAGTAACACTACCATCACATGTCTACATCTGTACCCTTCTTGTAGTAACACCACCCATCACATGTCTACATCTGTACCCCTTCACATGTAACACCACCTGTGTCCCATCTGTTTTCTTGTAGTAACACACCATCACATGTCTACATGTCCTTCTTGTAGTAACATCCACCCATATATGTAACACCATCTGTACCCTTCTTCTTGTAGTAACACCACCCATCACATGTCTACATCTGTACCCTTCTTGTAGTAACACCACCCATCACATGTCTACATCTGTACCCTTCTTGTACACTGTATCACATGTCTACATCTGTACCCTTCTTGTAGTAACACCACCCATCACATGTCTACATCTGTACCCTTCTTGTAGTAACACCACCCATCACATGTCTACATCTGTACCCTTCTTGTAGTAACACTCACATGTCTACATCTGTATCCTTCTTGTCACATCATGTCTACATCTGTACCCCTTCTTGTAGTAACACCACCCATCACATGTCTACATCTGTACCCTTCTTGTTGT